ATTCTGGACATCCACCAAACATCACGACTGGAATAGTGTTGTGTGGCTCAGTCCAAGCAACTTGTTTGTTTCCCATTTACAGAGACAGTGCACACACACAGAACGGACAGCTAGTGGACCGTGAGGAAATACTTGCTAAATTTGACAAAAATATTTATTTTGGATTAGAATCGCTTACTCCACATTTAATAGTCTCGTCCTGTGTTGAATGTTGCTTTAACGTTACCTGGTCCGTACTTGTAAAATATCCACCGCGACTTGTAACGTCATTTCAAGTTTTTAACGGAGTGAAGTCTGTTGGTGCGTTCCATTTGACATGGGAAGTCGGAATTTCCGAGTCCCAGTTGGAACTTTCAGCTGGAACGCCCCTGAAGTTGGATTTCCGACTCGGAAAGTCGGGACAACCGCACTACCCCGACTTTGTGATCCAAGATGGCTGTCGGGGTATCGACAGTTAGTGAAAGCTGTAGTTTATACTGTTTATTAGCACTTCTGCATACTTGTGACTCATATAAATGTTCGTACACAAAGTGCTGTCCAGCTGCTGTCTGTGGACATGTTGCTACAGTGTTAGTGTGAGTAAATACCGCAAAATGCGTTTTTTTAATCAACGGCGTATCAATAGCTAACCTGGCTAATTGTAAACAAACAGGGCGGGCGAGGTTTTCCGACTTGTTGCCTGGAACGCCGTCAACTCGGATGTGACGTCATTCCCAGCTCCGACCTCCGACTTCCGAGGTAAAAGGAAAGCAGCATGTGCGAATGAACACACGCATCAACCCCGCTACCTACTTCATTAAAACAGACAGAATTTTAATTAACACCAAGGACAGAGGGTGCAACTTGGTGTACACTTGACAAAGAGTTTGTCACGGTCAGCAGGTATTTCATTCACTTTTGGAGTCATGCACCACCATGCACCTGGAACTCTCTGAGGTTGAAACTCAGTTCCGAGCAGTCTGGAACGCAGCATGAGTAGCATAGAGCTGCTCAGTGTTTGTTTCTACCTCCTCCCAGGAGTTGGAGTCAGGTGTATGGGAGTCCAGAGAAGAGCAGCTGCTTGTCATCAGCCAATCACCTCTGCTACTTATTTTCGCTTCACTTCCACTCATAGCCAGATTGTAGACAGTACTTCCTAGTCAATTTTAACCTCAATTTCCTGTGTTGGTAGACTCCTGTCCTGCACCACTCCTGCCTCACCTGGAAAAACAGACCTTGCTGTCTAGTCTGAAGCCCTTTAAAACTCCACTCTGGATTCTGCCCTCCCAAATACCTCAGACTCTGCCCCTTCCCTGCACAGAAACATTTGTGGGTGCTTCTCAAGTCTCTTAATTGCATCCACGTTTCTCTCACTTGCATCTTTTCTTGCGTCTTAGTCCCGCCCATGGGGATGCATGGAGAGACGCAAGAAAACCAAGCCAGGAGAGAAGGGATGAGGAATATGTTTTTAGAGACATGAGACGCCCTTTCCTCCGAAGCGTCATGTGAAGCGACCTCCGTTTCTGATGACGGTGGCAGCTGATCAGCGCCTACACACTTTTGATGAAGTTTGTGTCTGCACACATGCACTTTTCTGATATTAATAAAGTCTCAGTTATCAGTGCAGAGCAGCATGATTCTCTCTGTATGTTGCCAAACACCTGCAAATCAATAATTATAATAAATTATAGGTTAGGCCAACTGTAGGCCCTGTGTCCTGCTCAGAGGCACAGGATCATTTCTACAGGCACAATGCTTAGGCTAAATTATCTGCATTTATATTTATTGATTCTGATTGTGAATTCGTTATTGAATAACCTGGAATATGTTCATGCTGTCTTGGGATTAATTAGGCTGTTTCAGGGAAATTTAAATGATGTAGCCTAACTCATCTCAAAGTCGACGCTCAGTTTTAGGCTTTCCGTTTATTTCCTTGTCAGATAACACTACAGAATACAATTTATTTGCAAGTCATGTCATCCTCACCTATCAATCACTGCGCACCATTATTATAAATCCAAGTTTTCATTCATACTTTCATCAGCTGAATTAGGCTACTTGCGGAGCCGCCACCTGCTTCAATCAGATGCAGTAGATGAGATTGGCTGGCTTTATTTTCCCTTGCTTGCTTCATTAAAGACTTCAGTGCAGTTTAGTTAGAAGTCCAACTCCTTAGGCTAAGTGTTTACTATTTAGGCTATTGTTGTTTATTTGACTAAACACAGGAATGACCAGCCTCACATGTGACTGAAAAGAAATGAGAGAAATGATGTAAAACATGTTTCTTGCTAACAGACTCTCCGACTGACTTTAATTGTCTCCATAATAAAAGTTGATGGGAGAAATAAAAGAAAAAGAAATAGGCCTTTCTAATAGGCCTAAATGAAGAAAGTTGTGTGTGGGGCTTTTGTTGTTCAGACCTACTATGAAGATTTTAATTAGATAGTGAATCATAAAACAAACCAACTCTTTGCAGTGATGCACTTGAGTTTAATACTATCTGTTGTAATGAATCAGATCAGTCCGATCAGCCACAGTGTCCAATCAATATAACAGCTACGCAATAAGGGGGCGTGTCGGTCAGTAAACTTCCACGAAGGATGCACTGATGTATCCTCGCTCAGAGATCGCTCCTAGGTCCTTGCGCAAATAAGAGCTTTGGGACGGCCTGCCAGATGGCAGCCTGCAACAACTTCCGGTTCAAGCGAGGATCGAGGAAACGACAAATAAGAGACTTGAGAAGAACCCTGTGAAATAACCTTGGTATTATTTGCATTTCTGACTCTGGTTCTCTGTCTGCACAGGGGTTTGAAAACAAATGAGCTCAGCTTTAGCAGTGAAGAAGCGCTTAAGATTCTGCGAACCTTTTCTTTCCATATTATTTTCTCAGTCCTCATTAATTTGTACAATTCAATTTTGAAGCAAAGAACCTTGGCTAGATGACATGTGGTAACTTCCATCCATTTACCTAGACGCAATTCTTCCGAGTTTACAACTTATGTGAAAAAAAAATAACTAAATATGAAAACAACTTGCAGTTCAACTGTTTCAAAACAATTAAACATGTTCAAAGTGATCTAATTGTGAAAGGCTTCTGTCCCAAATTGAATGAGTACATCATCAAAGAAAACCTTCCTTGTGAATAAAAATACACCACATTTGCACAATGGTACAGTCAGATCCTAAATGAGGCTGGCTTGTGAGGATTCTTTAAATGGAGGTGATATAGCAACCATCACAGATCGTTAAAAATAGACATGCTATAGCTCTGCAGCAATCACAAAGATGAAGTCCTCATGGGAAAAAAAACCTTTATGAAAGTTAACCCGAACTGTAGTATTTTAGTAGGCTGATCTAGTCAGTCCCTTACAGATGACAAATATGCAGACAGACGCACAGCCAAAGCAAATACTTTCGGCATGCATGTTAAATTACATAGAAGTTAGTATGTCTTTCTGTCCTCAAACAGAAATAACCAACAGAAAGGTTTTTAAAAGAGGAAGAGCATGGGACAACAAAAGGAGGAAAGTGAAAGAAAGGGGAGGAAAGCACTTACCCTTTAATCCAGCTACAAGATAGCGGGGTCAGGGTTTAGAAGAAGAAGAAGAAAAGGAAGAAGATACAGAGAAACATAAAGACACACAGCAAAGCCACCAACACTTACAGCAGTTCTACAACAAAGAGCGAAGCAGCAAATGGAGACAGAAAACAGTAACAGTTGGAAACATATATGTCATAAATGTTGTGAGGACAACTGTGCAGTAGGAGACAGAGTGGGACATCAAGAACAAGAGAACAAGAAGCTGAGTAATAAAAAGGAGGGCCTAAACTGCTTTTTATTCTACTTATTGATCACTGATTGCTACAGTATACACTTACTATACAGTAAGTGGGCTTCTAATGCTACTATAGGAATAATATAAAGCATTAAATGTGGCTGCAACAGACAAGTGTATCCCATTTTTTTAACATTGAGTTCAATCAATCGATGTCACTTGTGCTGCCAATTTCTGGCCTGACAGGGGGCCTTCAAGTTAACTGTTTGAAATGCAACAATTATAGAAATGCAGGGCCAAATATTTTCCTAAAAATGTGACCACTATTGTCGAAATGGATGCTGCATCATCAAGTTAGAAAATAAAAAAATTATAGACAACAACATGGTTGCATCCTGTTTGAGGAGAAGCATTTGTGTGGTATGAGAACTAAAAGACTAGTCAGAATCTGAGTGTTGAACACTCACAGAACTGAGAGATGGGTGCATCAAGCTGTGGCGTCGTGCTCCCCTCGAGTTGAGTTTCTGGACCTGGGTGGGAGGAACTGGCTTATGGGACTGGCGGTAGCTCGGTACATGGCTTGGACCCATAGGATCCGATCCTGCTCATCATCACTGGCAAAGATCACAGTGTCGCCCTCTTTCACAGCGTTGAAGAACGTCCGACCGCCATCTAGACCTAAAGGATGGACGGAGGAAGAGGAAGCTTTGTTTATGTTTATGTGTTAACAGGATCACGCATTCCTGTTTGTGTAGATACGTCAGAATAAAACACCAAAAAAAATGACATGACTATTTAAAAAAAGTCTCATCATCAGCACATTGTTTGTTATGAGGTTATCACAGAATGTCATGAGTTACATTCACAAGCAGTTTTAAAACTTATTGTGGTCACTTGCTCCAACACTCACAAGACCTCTCCTAAAACTCAAGCTAAGATCAACAGGATTACATTCATTAGAAGTAGCGAGGGATGGAAAGGCAATTTATCTGTTTTTTTAAATGGTTATATAGAAGTCTGTTTAAATCTATAGGACACCTTTAATCACTTCCTTGTTGGATCCATGTTCAGTTTGTACACCCCCCACAGTCCTGAGAACAGGTATAATCAGGCAACAAACGCCTATGTGGGTGGACTGTGCGTGTACAGGAACGTTAACAACAAATTGAACTTCAAATTGTGACACTTCCACTGCGTTGCTTGTTGTTATGCACTGCGCAGCTGTGTCATGTGGTTTCTGTTACTGGTTGAGGGTCGGTGTAGTCCACGGTGTAGCCATCCAGTTGGAGAAGCTCTACAGGCTCTGCCTTCTTCTCTCTGTAGCTGCACATGGCAAAGGTGTACTGACTCACCTGCTCCAATCACAGAGAGGGGAAAAGTTCATTCATCAGCTGGCTCAGTGCATTAATATGGTGGTAAGTTAGCTGTTAACCTTTTGTTTTGTATGTTTTAATTCACATCAGTTAAACATAAAAACAAGCACACATCACCACATGACAACATCAGGATCAGGGGAAAGCATTAGCAGCAGGCAATAACAAAAACACAGCATGTAAAAAATTACCACATTATGAAATTGAAACTTCACTGTCCCTCAGAGGGGAAGCTTCCTAAAGAAAATGTCAAAAACCTTACTAACCCTCTGCTACAATAAACTTGAAAATCTACAATCTTTCAAAGACTTTCCAGTATCATAAAGAAATGCAAACTGATGTCACAATTCCATGTCAAGTCACATCTTTTCAACCTCCCTCCAGGAGGCAGATACAACATGGCAGGACCAAACAGATGAAGCATGACTCAGATTCCAAAGAGCAAAACATTTGAATCAGAAACACCTTAAATCTGCATAGCTACATTTGTTTAAGCATATACCATTTGCAAAGGCTAGTCTGGAAATATTTAAATTAGGATAGTAAAAGTTTTAAATGCATTCAGCTTTAGTATTAACGTGTACTGTAGGTAGGTTTAATCTTGTTGCTTATTTATTTATTGAATTAAAAGTGACAGCCACCTGTGAGAAATATGAACATATGTGCAGCTGAGCTGCTTGGAGTGTGAGGAATATTAAATATGTTCATGTGTTTGTAACAGTTGTTAGGTGGTGTATGGTTGCTACAGGTGGTGGGCTGGAGTCGAGTGCTTACAATGTGTATGGATGTTAGAGTAATTAGGCATCAACTTAAATATGACACTTCAAAATAACGTCACACTAAACTGTGGCATTGGCTTCACACAGACAAGCAACAGAATACTGAAATGCCTGAACACATGAATGTGTGGACCAAATACATTACTATTATAGCTATTATAATTACACTTACACACACACACACACACAATAACTGATGGTGACAAGGACTTAGTTTCACATTTGAGGGAGGGCTGCCTGTATCATGTAAAGATATATCAGCATAAAACAAACTAACAGAGTGGACAGTTATTAGATTCCTCATCGAATAATTGTGGCCATAGTCTTGTCACTGCTCCCTGTGTTGGTAACAGGAAGCGTAGTGACACTGTGTTGCTAGCTGGAGCTAGCCTGCTGCTACTGTAGCTGCCAGTCATACCAGCCTGTCGTCACAAATCACCAGGCCTGGCCAATCCGCTGTCGTTGTCACCTCTGCCACTGCAAGTGGCAACTTCTAGCTGCAGCTGCATTCTGTGTGTGTGTGTGTGTGTGTGTGTGTGTGTGTGTGTGTGTGTTAGAGTGTATTGCTCATGTTATGGGGACATAAATCTGTTTCACAGTCACATTGTGGGGACTCATCTGCCTTTTGGGGACAAAACCTTAGTCCTCATAACGTAAATCATAACATTTTGGGGTGGTTTAAGGCTTAGGTTAAGGTTCGGGTAAGGGTTACATTTAGGTAAGTAGTGTTTATAGTTAGGTTAAGTCTCCAGGGAATGAATGTAAGCCAATGTAATGTCCCTGAAAGTGACAAACTCTGTTGTGTGTGTGTTGTGTGGTGTGTGTGTGACAAATGAGATTCCCCACAACAACACTGATGAGACCTAAGGGCAACTAAAGCATGGAGGGAACCGGACCGACTCTCCAGCAGCTCCCTGGCCTCCAGGACACCACAAAGGCAAATCAGAGTCTAAACTACCGACCCCCCCCCCATACCCCAAAACACCAGCTTCCTCTCGCTCTCTCTCTCTCAGCTGTCAGTCAGCACGAAGAGAGACAGAGGAACAGACAGTGATGAAGAATGAGAAAAGAAGAGAGTGAAGAGGATTGCTACAGTCTTTTATATTCACATCATTACAGGAAACACATGGACATGAATACAGATGATTTGCTGGATGTGGCATGTGTGTTCACAAAAAACTTCAGAAGCCAAAAGGAAAAACATCCAAACCCTGACATGGTTAATATTATTTCTGATATTAAAGTAATTGAGCTGAAATAAATAGAGCTGGATTAAAATAAATCAACCAAAAGAAAATTAAAATTGAATGAAACTGACATAGTGAAATAAAGCTAAATTATCTGAATTCAGATTTGTTGTATTAAACACAATTGAACGGGAAAAAAATTAAAATAAATAAAAATGCTGAGAAAAAAAAAAGAACTAAGACGAGCTGAAGTAAATCAAAATCAAGTGACCTGAATTAAAATGAAATAAATAAAAGTGAAATGAAGTTAAGTGAATTGAAATGCACTGAATCAAAATGAACTGAACTGATGTGAATTCAAATGTACTGAAATTAACCAAACTGAAATTAATTCAACTAAAATAAAGTGCAGGGAACTGAGTTGAATTTAAGTGAATTTAAATCACTTGACTAAAATTAACTGAACTAAAGTGCACTGAACTGAACTAAACTGAAGAGAATTGAATTGAAGCAATTTTAGGGGAATGGAAAGACAGATGGTGGGCACATGTAGAATGAAATTTGGTCCACCATGAGCACACAAGGTTTAGCTGATCTGTAATCTGCCTGAATGCTCTGAGGAGGCCACAACCACTGTACTGATTATGAACTGATGGACAAAGAGGAGGGGGTGATTTAAGGACAAAGAGGAAGACTGGAGGATGAGGAATGAAGAGATGACAGGCAAGTGATAGATGACAGGGGAGAGAGAGAGAGGAGGAGGAGGAGAAAATGAGTCCAAAGTAGAAGACGTGGAGGAAGAAAACGGATATGGACAAAGACAGCAGGACTGAGAAGAGACAGAGGGAGGGAGTGGATGAACAGAGGTGTAACTTCTGAGATGTAGTACGTGTCTTATACTCAGATTTCAATTCCTAATTCAGTCCAAACTGTTGGTTGTACTAATAAGGATACAGTATACGTTGCGTACAGAGTATGTTGTACAATGAAACTGATCTGAACATTTTAAATCAGAAATATTATGCACCTTCACTTCTAACATGATGTACATTTAACTATATGACAGAGCTGCAGCTCTGTTTAATGCAGCTTTGCAGTATAGGTTATTTCTGTATGCAGGCCTCTCAACACTGGCAGAGAGGCTTGTGTAACAAGTTGGGAAAAGGATAAGGAGCTTGACAAATTGACACATCAAAAAAGGCCTTAAAGCATATAGTAAACCATAGTACATTTACATAGTAGATAAAGCACTCTAAATACAAACTAGTATAAAGTATTCTAAGCACATGGCACAACGACTTTTTTTCTCTTTTTTGCTTCCTTGGGATGGGATTTGTTGACAAATAGAACAGCTCTTCTAATATGATGATCTTCCAGCATATCTCAGGGTGTGGTAAGAGTTTTTATAAAGTAACTGCACCGAGTCTCATAATCCTCTTGCTCTTTGCTCACCCTGTGCTGAGTGATGTAGCATCGCACTATGTGATCACAAGTACAACACACCACACCTAACACCCAGCTGACATGTTGGGTATGGTAAAAGGTCCAGCAGACTTTAAAGCCCCAGAGAGGTCAGCGCTGCAATGATTTTACAATACATACAATATCATAACGAGGAAGTGCTCCTTAAACAGTTTTTCCTAACCCCATGATACCTTGCATGAAGTATGGCGTACAGAGATATTGGAACGCTGCATGCAACTATGCTTTATGCTCCCATATACGAAATCATTCATCCAGATATCTCTAACAAAAATGACACTGGATTTGAGTGGACACTGATTTTGACTGTTGAGAACGTCAAAAACAAACAGGCATTAAATGAGAGGGTACAAATGCACTTCTTATGGCAAAGAAATCTTTAAAAAATTGTACAATTCCAATAATTACTTATAACTTGTAAAAAAAAACACCTACTTTTGTGGTGTGTATTCCTCATACATGTTAATCTTGAAACTTCACTCTTAAAACAGCTCTTTTGATCTGTTTTACAGCTAGGACTAAAAACATTGTACAAACGAGTGTGGATACAGTCATCACAGTGAGAGACACGTTCCATAATACTAAACTATGTGTAAAGGATAGGTTGACATTTTTTAAGTCTGCATTAAAACAATTTTCGCTTGCCATATGGACACTAAAAGAGTTCTTTGTTACTGTAACCTAGTTAAGGTACTTCTAATGTAAGAGGTGGGGTAAAAAATCCACAGTCATTGTTAGTTAACTGTAACTATACATCCTCTGTATTATGACTGAGACTTTAGAATGCATTTTTGAACATCACTTACATTCGAGTTGCACTAGGAAGTGATCACTTCACAGCCAGGAGAATAGGAATGATTACAGTCCAACGAATCCTTTATCGTACATACGGCATGTGAGTACTCTATCAAAACATGAACCAGCAAAGGCTGGAATATCTGAAGGTTTTATGATAGTATAACTTCAGGCTTTTGTGTCTAAAAGGAGGAGCCAAGCTTAACAAATATGTTTGAGGAAATAGATTCAAATCCAAGTGTGAGGTGGTAAAGAGAGACGTGGGTAACAAAATGGCAACAGTGAGTATTTACTTACAAGACTTTTCATGAGAAAAACAGACATCTCTAAAACAGCGACAAAAAGTACATGAGCACTCAAACACACGGCAATAACCAGATAGTGTCTGTGCTGCTCAAGACAAACATCCATGCACATCTGCAGACAGACATAAAAACAAACACACACACACACACACACGAGTGCGCAGTCTATTGACCAGTGTTTGTCACTTGCTATATATTTAGCTGGGAGCCACCGAGAGGCTTCAAGTTGGCGGGGCTCAGGCTTTTCTAGCTGCGAGTGTTAGGCCAGCTAGTGTTCACTCGACTTTGTCAATCTGCTGTCAACTTGTAGCTCTGAGACATATCCTCTGACATACCCCCCACCCCCTCCCCTCCCACCCCCACCACCACCACACACCACACTCTTCGCCTACTACCCACCTCCCAATGCAGAGGAACACCAGGAAATGGCCGCTACCATCGCCCACACCCCCACCTCCCCATCTCCCCATCTCCTGACAAAAGCCTGCTTGGCCTCTCCATCATTCCTCTGACAGCCAAGGGAAGACAGCTTGGCTGCATCTCGCTTCCTCGCTGCACACACATGTGGCCAGTGAAAATATTATCGACACAAAGCGGTGCTGATGTTGAAGGCTGCTCAGGGTTATCTCTTGGGTGTGACTGGGTTTTTGAGCTCACCATACATTCACTTTAGTCCAAATTTGATCTTGTGGAAAGTATGATAGAGAGCAAAGATCAAGAAAACAGTTTATATGGCTTTCTCCCTGTTAGGAATATGAATTTATGATCTTCACCAGTCCATCAGTGATTCCCCAGTTTTTATAGATCAAGATATAACATTGTACAGTCAAAGATTTATTTCTATTGTAGTTCTCAAGAACTTTAATAATGCTATGGAATATATACTTTTGTTAGACATCCTAATTTCTTAACAGGGTTCTGTAGATTTTGGGAAAATGAAGGATCTGCATGAAAATGTGTCCGTCTATCATCTACAGCAACTAAATGTTTTTTCATTACTGAATCATCCGACTTAATTGATTATAAAAATAGATGCAATTAATTTTATGTCACTCGACTAATTGATTAATTGAGAAATCATCTCTGCAAACAGTATGTCTTTACAAAATGTCTGAGCTGACAAAAGGCGGGGGTGCGTGCTATGGCAGGTTGTATTGGGTCAAGTATGGTTGCGAATGGATTACATAGAAATAACGCTATATTTCAAACTATTTCATCTACCTATATACAAATTCTATAAATCTCAGTCTTATAAATCTCTGGCACCCCCATCTGCATAGGAAGAGACACCACTTGGGATCCAGGCCCTCGGGCTGAGAGCTTCAGAGTGCACTAAGGCTTGCAGCTGAGACAGGTGTAATGACTGCAAGTTCATTAGAAAAACATTTCCTTTCGTGACTGGCAAAACTGGCAACTGAAAGATATTAGTAATGCCACTGCTCATTCAAACACCTCGCCCACTGTATGAAGTGTACCATGTTTTGTGTATGTTCTTGTTTTATCACATACAGTTGACTTGTAGCACAACTATATTATCTGTGCTTACCTGAACCAGCACAAAGAATCTTTTCTTCCATCTTTTCCACACGTTTTTGCCAATGGCCCATAGGTACCTGTGGATGAAACAAAACGCTAATATTTAGCTAAAAGAGATTTCTCAGTGTGGCCTTCATGCAGCTGTTGTGAACTTCTTTCTGCATTGCCTTGACTGATATGACAGAAGTCTGATGCGACAGGCCGCATCTGCAGAAAGGATACATACAGAGTGGTAGAGTTGTGCATCGACTGACCTCTCCTGGTAAAACGCCATAACTGCAACCAGACGCTTCACATTTTTTTAATCTCATTGTTCTGTTCTTTATTTGGTGTTTTGTGTCTAAGCTGACAAACCTTCCTTTGCACAGATATTTGTTGTAGTAGGATAAGCACAGTACTGCAACTAATGACACTAAGAGTGCCTCTTTTCCAAGTGTAAGCCATCTGTGAGGCAGCGTGCACAGATAACTCGAATGGGGCATCTAAAATACACAGCAGCCATCCTTAATTTGACCAGTAACACCTGTATGCACTGTAGAGTGAATTGAAATTAGGGCTGTTAGATTACTGACACTAATTAATCAATAACAACAAAAAGTACATCCCCCGTAAAACTGTGTACATGTGCTTTTAAAGGGATCCATGGAGTACAGAGGTGACTAACACATTCCTAACTTTCATAACTAGGACTGGGCAATATTATAAAAATCATTTATTGTAATTTTGAAGAAATACCTTAATAATGATAAGCATCATTATAATGTCTTCATGCAATACAGATAATAGTGCTAAGAGGTCGGACATGAGTCATCATTCTGACACATTGTCTAATTAGGGTTAAACGGTTGGTCATTTTGCCTGAAACTCCCCCAAATCAAATCACTCTGCTAAATCATGTTTCCATTATCCACCCCTTTAAAGTGTTTCACTGTATTTTCTCTACACTGTACATCTGTTCCACACAGTATATTCTGTATCTCCAACTGGAAGTTGCGGATATGTACGTTTATCTAATCCAAAACACGATCTTATGGTGCATTATTCTGCATCAGATGGAAAATCATTTGCCATCTAGATGTTTTTTTTCTATGAAATTCAGCATTTAATATTTGGTATCTCTTGAGACATAGAGATCTAGACTAGACTTTGATTTATAGTAAAGGTCACAACCAAAGTTTCGAGGTGCAGAATTCAGTAAAAGACTAACATTTGAAAACAAATGATCAAACAAATATATCAAGCGTAAAGAAGTTTGTGACAACGCAGAGAACTACACATTTGTTTGTGTTATTTTCCAAAAGCTGGTGCCTGTTACTTAAATTATTTCATTCAGCAATAAAGACCAAATAGCAGTCAGCTTCCATATCTACTCTTTCTTCTTAGAAATACAAGTGTGTATTCTGCAAGTACTAAGGCTTGTTGTGTTGCGTTTTCTTTTTGATTTGACATGAAAACATGATGCAGAAGGAAAAGGACAGGGAAAGGGCTTTGTCATAAAAGAACATTGAGGGTGAGGACCCCAGTTTGGTTAGTCTCTAGTGCTCCCAGGCTCGCTGTGGGTATGCCTGGTTAGCCCTGCTCCGTTTGCCTCAGTGTGCCTTTCCCCCAGTCCCTCCCAGAGCTGCTTCTGCCTGTCGTCCCAAATAAACCAGCATCCATGAGGTGACACATGAGGGCCTGCCCGCGTGCTGAGCAGAGAGTGGGACCGGTAACATGGTATAGGAAGACAGTGTGGGCATCTTACAGTGCAGCTCTGCAGGCTCCTCTAAGGCACTCAAAGAAGCATATGGAGGGGGGAGTGAGGAAGGCAGACATGCAGCTCCTCGCAGCTACAGACAGAAGAGCAATGCTTTGAGGCAGGAAGTGTGTGCCCAGTGTGTAAAAACACTGTCACTGCCACTGCAGGCATACAGTCATCGAATTCACTCATGTGGTGGATACTTACTGCTGTCGAATTGTATGCTTTAATGCAGGGGTTCTAAACCTTTCTGGCAGTCCGACCCCTTTTTGAAGTTGAAAATATTTTCTTTTGGCTGTTCTACGCGCTGTTAATGCACCTGCTGCTGCACCTTGCGTTTTTGAATGAGTGCATGGAGTTGAAAAAAATTCAACTCTTGCCCGACGTCATTCACGTTTTTCCCATTGTCCAATATAATGAATGGAGAGACGGGCCCTCAGTTGTGCTGACGGAAGTTTACAGTCTGTCCCACACCACATCACAGACATCCACAAACACTTTCAACAAAGACTTTTTGTCATTCATAAACTCAGGACTCTATCAGTCAAACCAACCTACTGCTTCTCCTGTACCGTAGTATCATTGAACCCATCCTCTTGTACTGTGCTACCTGCTACTTCACCATGCTCTCTCTCTCACCAATAAGAATAAGCTTCTTAAAATTACTAACACCTCCTCCAAAATAATAGGTCTTCCCACTCCAACCTCCCAGCCCTCATTAATACTGCCACTGCTCGAAGAGCAACTACATAGTACAAAACCCCAGCCCCCTCTCAACTCATGCTTCACCCTTCTCCATCTGGCGTAGATACAGACAGCTGCTCTACAAAAAGGCACGCTTCGGAAAAAGTTTTGTACCCTGTGCTATAAGAGCGTTAAACTTACAGACAATTAATAGTGTCACTTTTGTGTATGTGTAGATATGTGTATATTGTCCATACATGTCCTATATGTGTGTACTATGCGTAGTGATGCTCTTTGTACAGACTGTGAAAACAAATAAAGAATGAATCTGAATCAGACTCATCCTAAAATAAGCCTTAAACCAACCATCATTAAGACGAAGCTCCTGCACCAGCTGGTGGTACTACGAGCGGTGTTCCTCTTTTCGAGGGTCTCATGTGCCCACACGGATCTCAGTTTCCCTGTCTTCTGCGTGCTTGTACACCTCACACACTCAAAACAGTGCCAGAGCAGACGCTCTCCGTTTGTCAGATGTTTATAGCAACAAAACAAACAGACTGTGAGTTATGATTAAGTTTCTATGAAGTAAAGTCGAGTAACATCAGTGTTGGGGCCAGTTTTTGTTTCAATGTAAACCTTCATGGAATGAGAAATAAGGTGACAGAATTTAACAACAGGACTGTAAAATGCAGCTTGAATCCCAGGATCCGCTGGGAACAGTCGGGTTCTTGGGTTCAATTTCAGTACACTAGCTAGGTAATCCATCAAATTGAATCTTCTACCGCAGATCTATGATGAAAGACTCTGATAGCTGATACATGCTGAGCAGAAAAGGCAAGCCAGTTTAATGTCATTAATTCCATCTATGCCGTTACACAATTCAGAATCTTATCAAATGGGCTCCATGACCTTGTATTGGTCTGCTGTGGGTCCATCCTTAAAAAACATTTCCCTGTCATGCCTTTTAGTACATTGGAAAATTAAGTCTGTGTAGTAACAAATAATAACCACAAGAGGGAAGCAAAACATTACGTTTGGGCAAAGAACCTCCAGTAAAACACCTATTCCATAGTGCACGTTGCTGATTAAAGATGCAGTGATAGTGTAGCGCAGAGTAAATAATAAACTTTCACATTTGCCTGTAAAGCCTCTATCTGACATAGGCCTACTCACGTAATGTAGACATAAAGGATCAATGCCACAGAACAGGAACACTTGAGTCCTGGGGATTTCCCCTCTCTTTGGTGAACTTGACACCAACCTATGTTAAAAAATACTATTTGGTTGGAAGCCAAAAGGTTATGTTTGTTTTGTTCAAGGACTTTTATTGCACTGTTAGGATAACAACTTCTGTTGTTTAACACCCTGATAGCATATTTTGGTGCTTCCCAGACTGATACAGAGATCATGAACTAAGAAAGAAAGAAAGGTGTGGTAGGAGAAGGTGCACAAGCAACAAGGACGACCGCAGCCTTGAGAGGATGGCCACGCAAAGCCAATTCAAGAACTTGACGGCGCTACACGAGGAGTGGACTGAGGCTGGAATTGTCAAGAGTCACCATGAATAGAAGGTGTTGCATTCTTAGTGTCAAGCCACTCCTGAACCAGAGATACGACAGAAGCATTAGAAGTAGTATACGGCTTTGAAATGTTTTAATATTATTTTTTATTGGCTCCCCAGTCTGCCATAGCCGTTAAAAGAAATGGTTTAATCTTTCTTTTTATGTAAGGCTAAATATTCTAAACATATATTTAGGAATTCAAATTAAGTTTAATATGAATTTGTTATTTAAAATTAAAGTTGCATGTTTCTTATATTATAGAGACTGGTGATGTAGCGCCCCACCTTTCCTATTTGGGTGCAGGTAACGTGGGTGAGTTTCAGTAACTGGGGACTGAAGTCATGGTTGAGATCCAGTCTATCGACCATTTAAGCATTTTTTTTCATTTCAATGCTTTATGAAATTGATTTAGAACAATGTTGGAACATTTGGAACATAAGTGTGTTATATAAATTAATATGATTTTTAAAGTGACGAAAAGTTCTTGAACATGAGTTGGAACTCGTGCCCGCAGCTTTTAATGTCAAAATTCTGATACACAGCTGCTGCAGCTTAAAGAATAAAGCCAAAATTCATACACGCCATAACAATCCATCTCAGTAACACATTAATGGAACACACAAATGCAATCACAGTCAGATCTACTCACAATCTATTGACGGGGTCAGTGATATTATAAGCCTGTTAACATACACAGTCACACAGTCTGCAATTTTCTGTCTTCCTGCATTGGCAGCTGCAAACTGTGTTGCTTTTAGCAAGTATTATGTGTTTAACTTCTTCATATTTATCTAATATCACAGTTTGCTCTTTGTAAAATATGCCGTTCTGCTACCAGTAGACTTGTCCACGTTTGCAATTGGTGCTACCACCACCAAGAGTTTTTTTTTATCAGGGTGGAGCGACTGTATAATGTCTTAAACTGAAAATCGATAAATCAGAATAGGTATCTAATTTCAGAATTACTGGGCCACCAGCATGCAGAATCTCACTTCCACTTACCCACAATGCTTCATGTTCTGTGGTTTGTCATGCGAATAGCCAGTTGATTGAGGTCATTGTCTGGACAGCCTTTAGACACTGTCATCTTGTGAAGCTCAGACTGCTTGGGACTGTGGGAGTCGGGTGGAGCACAACCTGGAAACAGACATATAATAATAATGTGAGCTAAACACTATATTCTGTACTGTATACTATTACGGTTATACCAATTTAAATTTTACCTTCCCCAGCTCTTTATCTTCCAGAGCCAACATCCTGTGCTCTCAGTAAACAGCTTTACCTTCACAGCAGGTAACGGCTGGGTGGTGGTGAAGACCCTGGGTACCCCAACTGCACACACACACACACACACATAAACAGAAACACCAAGGTACAAGCACAAGAAAGAAAGCACTGTGTTAGTGATGATGATGCCCTGCGGCTGTTGCATCTGACCACCTAAGCTACGGGTCCAGCTAGACCGGAACTTGCAGGGGTTTTTAAAAAGCAGAGTTTTAATGTATTTCAGCTTGTTTGTCATTTCACAGCCGTCACCCTTACTGTTGGGTTCACAATCAGCCCCAAACAGCAGAACAGTTAGTGAGTAGCTGGTGAACATAATGGAGCATTCAGCAGCTAGAGATTTTTCTCAAGATTTATAAAGGTGCATCTCATAAAAGTAGAATATTGTGGAAAGGTTCATTTATTTCCCTATATCCAAATCTCAAAATATTAGAATAAAGAATTATAATACAGAAGTGTCAACCTTCTGAAAAGTTGAAAAGTTCTGAAAAAGGTTAATTTATGTACTCAGCATTTGGTCGGGGCTCCTTTTGCATGGATTACTGCATCTATGCGGTATGACATGGAGACAATCGGCCTGTAGCACTGCTGCAGTGTTATGGAAACCCTGGATTTTTGATGCCATATATTTTCACAAAGAATTTAAGCACATTAACCAGCTCTCATGTTTGGACTGCCTGTAACTTCTCAAAAAGGACTGGAACACTAAGAACTGCACTAAGGACTAGACTGCTAAGAACCATCAGTCATTTGTCAACCAAAGAAACAGGATGTCACCATGGCAAAGGGTCAACCAAGCGCTTTTTTAAGCTTAGAAGTTAGGAGAGTCTCAGGAACATCCTAGTGGGACATTATATACTTTGTTAAGATGGCCCATTGTGGCTAAACGACAGGACATAGGACGCGCAACAGTTGCAGTAAGTGCGGACTTGTATCAGTGCTTTCATGTACAGCACTGCCATATTTCCTTGGTGTTTGCAGAGATATTGATATGAGGCAGGTGGTTGTGCAGAGTAATAATGTTTACAGTGGAGAAATCCATTTAACATCCCACCCACACCTCAGATATACTCACATCCTCTACTGAACAGGGAACTCGGAAACTCAAGGAAATTACCAATTAAAAGCCCAGGCTTTTATTTGTTATTGAACTCACCTGCCTATATTGTGACAAGTGTCTATTTGGGACAGGCCGTTACTTCCTTTTGCACAAATATGTAGCCTCAAGAACACACTGGTGCTCATGTTAATTGTCCGTAAAATTAACTGAACGATAGAATTGTGGAGAATCTAACCAATGTATGATGTGTAACAGTCCATTGACAAAGTTAAACATTCTTTTTTAATGTCATATCTCAGCAGCTTAGAAACTAGCTCAAGCAGGTGACCCTACATCCAAAGAAAATCAGTCCAGGCTTCTAATTGAGACTGCATGTACAGTATTTGTCAAAAGTGTAGCACACCAGGCCAGTAAGGGCATTTACTGGGACAGGCTTTTAATTGAAGTTTCATGGTACATGCAAAATTAAGTCTTTAGAGACCATGCC